AGAGAACCAGCAGCCAGACAAAGGAGAGTCACGGGCTCACAGTGACCGGCTGTGCCTTTACAGAGTAGTATACCGTGGCCTCTTTTCCCCTGTAGAGCCAAATGGGTGTTGTGCTGATTAGTTTGATCATTTTCTTCACATATCAAAATAAATGGATCAATAGTATTGAGAAATGGCATTGCTAAAGGCAAGGAGTAGAGCAAATGGCACAAATAGGCACCTTTATGCACAGAAATTTAAGGGTTTAAAAAATGTGTTTATAAGCCACATCTAGCATGGTAGCCACAATACAACACGGTACACTGCGATAAAATACAATACTATTACGCAATACTGCAATAAAATATGCTGCATTACAATATGATACAATATGATACAACGCAATACAATACACAGCACTGTAATGCAATACGTTGCAGTACAATACAATGCACTATGATACACTGCGCTGTAATACAATACAATTCACTACAATACGCTGCACTGCAATACAATACAATTCACTACAATACGCTGCACTGCAATACAATACAATTCACTACAATACGCTGCACTGCAATACAACACAATTCACTACAATACGCTGCACTGCAATACAATACAATGCACTACAATACGCTGCACTGCAATACAATACATTTCACTACAATACGCTGCACTGCAATACAATACAATTCACTACAATACGCTGCACTGCAATACAATACAATGCACTACAATACGCTGCACTGCAATACAATACAATGCACTACAATACGCTGCACTGCAATACAATACAATTCACTACAATACGCTGCACTGCAATACAATACAATTCACTACAATACGCTGCACTGCAATACAATACAATGCACTACAATACACTGCACTGCAATACAATGCAATATGATACGCTGCACTACAATACAATATGCTGTACTACAATATGATACACTGCACTATAATACAGTGCACTGCAATACAATACGCTGCACTGCAATAAAATACAATACAATACACTGGAATACAATGCAATGCAATATGATACGCTGCACTACAATACAATATGCTGCACTGCAATACAATATGCTGCACTGCAATATGATACTCTGCACTATAATATGATACTCTGCACTATAATATGCTGCACTGCAATACAATTACACTGTAACACAATACACTGCAATACAATAAAATGCATTACAATACACTGCAATACAATATGCTACAATACAATATGATACATTATTGCGGCAATACAACGATATGCTGTGATATAATATGATATGCTGTATTTCAACACAATACAATACAATGAACAGAAAAAAACAGAAGAGCTGAAAACAGAAGCAGTGATGCATCATGGCAGCTGAAACAGGGTTTTCAGGAAAATCATGGATACAGTGCGATACAAATGATCCAAAATGATATGCTGTGATACAATATGATATAACACGCTGCGCTGTATTATTACATCCCTACTGTTGAGCTTCTGTTTGTCATATCATACTGTGATGCCTGTCAAGTCAAGTCAAGTCAAAGTTTATTTATGTAGCGCTTTTTACAAAAGGTGTCGTCACAAAGCACAAAAGTTGTAATTAAATAGTCTGAGTAATTAAATAATAATTAAATAGTCTGAGTAACTAAATAGTTTCCCTGTATCGTGAGAGGTTTTGTTTTTCGCTGATACGCAAACTTAAGTACGTGTCCCTCAGTGGCTCAGACGGCCCTGTAACAACCCCCACCAGACTGACCATCAAAGCCGACGGCCGGTCGTCCGAAACGCAGAGGGAGGCCTCAAGCTTTCATCACTTGCTGCAGTCGAGCCATAACGAAGCCCCTGCCCTTGAGCAGGACCACCATGATGAGAGGCGAGGCTAAACAAAGCCGGGCAGCTGCCCCTCGGTTCCCGTCCACTCGACTGATGGGAGGAAACAACATATGCCTGATCTGGACTGATGGGCTGGTTTTATTCTGGGAGTCCGGACTGTCATCACGGGACTTTAAATACCGCCAGTACGTGTCGAGTGCAGGGAGAAATAAATGCTTTTGCTTTTTCCGTAATGAGCAGAACAGCTGGAGTCTAACAATGCGGTTGATGTGAAAGATGATTGCTTCAATCGTTCCACTTGTTTTACAAGCAGAGGCAGTTTGCGTGTAAACAATCGCTGAGATCATTAGCATTTCTGTCACTATCGTTCATCAAGAAAGCAAATGCGCTTGTGTTGCCTAAGAAAAGTGCAGAAGAAAAAGAAAAGAAAATGCAAATTCTCCAAATGTATTAGTACAGCTGTCTTTGGTGGTTATAGCTATCAGTAATTGGTTATAGTTATTCTAATGAGACCAGGTCTGGACCAAAACCCAAAATATCCTCTTCAAGATCAGTTAATTAGTCTTCCTCTCCTTCCAGTACAATTAATGCACAAATACTGTGACACTGTGATGATGAAGAGGCAGGTGGAGCCATAATCTCTGCTCAAACGTTGCTCTTTATTCTAAACAAGCAACAAAAGGCTCATACATGCTGCTCTAACCGCCTCAGGTTACCAGCGAGTGCTGACCAGCCCCGCAACACAAAACTAGCCGCCCCAGGCACATAAACAACAACAAATACCTTTAAACACACCGTAAACTGACAGACAGCAACATAACAACACAAGAACAGCAGTAACAGACCCCTCTTTAAGGGGCACGCGAGCCTCCCATGAGCCCTTCGGGCTCCTGAGAGGCTGCAGTGGCATCAATATAAAGGAAAGACCTGTTTACTCCACAACAGAACCGCATGTACCAAATAACTCCATCAATGAATGTATAATGTATACGGTTTATGTAATTTATACTGTTGCCTATGATGAAATTTAAACTAATCTATATTCTGAAATAGCAAATATGTGCCTGATCTGTATTAGATACACAGATTTCTGATGTATTTATTGATGTCTATTTATTGATGTCTATTTATTTTCTGATGTATTTATTGATGTCTATTTATTTTCTGATGTATTTATTGATGTGTATTTATTTTTCTGATGTATTTATTGATGTGTCTATTTATTTTCTGGTGTATTTATTGATGTGTATATTTATTTTCTGATGTATTTATTGATATATTGATGATCCTATTTTACATGCTCACTCTATCACACCGCTCTGCCTCGCCCTGCTGCCGTCTGCTTTCCCTCCTCGTTTACGTTCCTCCCTCATGTCTCTGCCACGTGCTTCTGTTTTTGTTTTGTTTTCCTGCTCCTCTATAAGCTCCACACATCTTCACCTGTGTCAGATCTGAGGCCCCGCCCTGTAAGTGTTCCCAGGTGCTCCTTGTTTGTTTCCTCCAGTATGTGTACCCCTCGTGTTTGTCCTGCGCTTTGGTCAGCGTTGTTTGTTCTGTGTTTATTCCTGGTGTGTTGTGCTCAGCTGTGTTCTGTTGTTTTGTTCTTTGTTTAGTTCTTTTAGTCAGTTTAGTTTTCCTGTTTAACTTTTCGTTTTGTTCTTCAAAACAGACCACAGTAAAACCCCTAAGCCTGTCACAGTTATTACATAATCAACTAATCGCAATTATTAAAGCCGACTGCAGTCATTTTCCACAGTCATCAGATTTCACAATAACATTCAGCCTCAACAAGCAGAATGTCGGTTGTGTGTGCACTGCAAAAAAATGCTGGCAAGAGAAAACATCTTAAATGTAGTCAGTATTTTTAATATTTCTCATTACAAGGTTGTTGTAAGGATATTATAAGACTTCTATATATTTGTATTTATTTTAAATGATCTTATCTGGTGAAAGTGTCTTATTCTGTCGGCTGATCATTTGATGTGTTTTCAGAAATAATGAAGATAATTTTGCTGAAATGCCTAAAACAAGTAAATGATCTGCCAATGAAATAAGACACTTTCATAAGATAAAATTACTTAAAACAGATAAAAATTGTCTAGAAATAAGTTAGACAATCTTTCAATGCTCCTACAGTGCTCTCATAATGAGAAATATTAGAAATGTTGACTATTATTTTCAGTGTGTTGTGTTAAAGGCAAATAAACGAGGCAGTAAACGTATTTAGATGTTAATATTTGCAGCTCTACAGCTGAGAAGCTGATGCTGCGAGAATCTCGTGCCAACACGTGACAGTGTCTACTACTCACACCAGTCCTGAAACACTGACTGTGTTTACATGCGCTTAATAATCTGATAACTGCAGAAAATCAGATTTTGTCAGTAATCCGATCAACACGTTTAGATGCTCTTGAGTAATCAGATAATGGGGAAACTCCAGGTCTACATGAGTCAGACAGTAATTAGATTTCTGCTTTACAACCAGCCAATAAACTCACAGAAGAAGACGTGACGTAAACATAAGGTAAAACTCAAACTTCATACGGCGGCTTTTTTTTTAATCATTGCGCAGCTTTACCTGAAAATATGAACTTAAATCATCTAGAAGATGAAGAATATTTAAATCCTTTACTTCGTGTTTGGTTTCAGCGCTCCAACAGTGTTTTGCTGCATCTCGTGGCATCGCTGCTTGCTTATATCTGGTACCGCCGTCTGATCTCGCGCATGCGCAGACTACGTTTATATGCACTGAGAAATCTGATTACTGAGCTAAAATCCAGCCTCTTATCGGATTTTTTGATCGGATTTCTAGATCGGATTTCTAGATCAGAGTATGGTGTTTAAATGACCATTTGAATAATTGGATAACTGCAGAAATCTGATTATGATCGGATTATTTAGTGCATGTATACGCACTCACTCCTTCAGTGTTAATGGGCGGGGCTAAACTGCTTTAGGCTGACTGGGTGAATGTATGACATCACAAAAACAATAACTTCAAAACAGGCTGTTTTTGCAGCTTGTTTTCCACAGGTGGACCGTACGGACTGGGCAGCGAATGTTTTTTTTTTTAAAAAGTCATTTGGGCCCATTAATTCCACTTTACTACCATTCTCAGCTGAGGTCTCTGCTAAAGGCTCTCTGGTTCCAGCTGCACAGAAGTCTTCTATTAGTTTTGTCAAGAACATACCAGAACTTTGCCGTTGGGTTTATCCTGTCTCGCCAGGCTGACCCCCATCCACTCGTCGTCCCTGTCTCCTTGGCACGTCTTCCCACAAGACTCCCGTTGCTTGTTCCCTGGAAAAGGACAGAGGACCATTCAGACCAGCAGAATCACAGACAACGACTGTTTAGGCAAGGCAGGTTTATTTATATAGCACCTTTCAAACACTGCTGTCATTCAAAGTCAAGTCAAGTCAAGTCAAATTTATTTATATAGCGCCTTTTACAACAGATGTTGTCACAAAGCAGCTTTACAGAGAATCCGGGTCCACGCCCCCAGTGAGCAAGCCTTGGCGACAGTGGCAAGGAAAAACTCCCTCTACAGGAGGAAGAAACCTCGAGAGGAACCTGACTCAAAAGGGGAACCCATCCTCCTCTGGTCGACACCGGATAAGAGGACAGACACAAAACAGTACAAAGTGCTTTACAAATGAGAAAATTCAGTCAGAGTTGTTTAAAGTAGAAAAACATAATTAAAAACAATATTAAAAACATAATTAAAACGTGATTAAAACAATAAAATTAAAAAAGAAAATCATTAAATTAAAAATCAAATTATAAATTAAATCAGGACAGTTAAATAATCAGGTTAAAAACTAAAAGTTAGATTATTGGGGGAAAAAACAGTTCAGCAGTGCAGTTTACTGTCCCAGATCGACTCCAACAGCTCGCATATCTAACACTGTAAACGGTCCTATACGCTCGTACACTGTACTAACACTGAGACATTACACAGAGTGTTGCACGAGCTTAATTCCAATCCAGACGGCACCAGAGCTGCGGGTACACAGACGCAGTACATTAAAGCATCTTAAGGTCCAGTCAAGGTTTATTTATATGGCGCTTTTTACAACAGGTGTTGTCACAAAGCAGCTTCACAGAAAAATCCAGGTCTGAGTCCCCATGAGCGTCGCCAACGGAGACAGCGGCAAGAAAAACTCCCTAAGAGCAAGAGGAAGAAACACTGAGAGGAACCAGGACTCAAAAGGGGAACCCGTCCTCCTCCGGACCACACCGGAGAGCAAACAATAACACAAGAGCAAAATGAACAGAGAATAAGATTTTACAACTAATATATTAATTAAATATATTAATTAAAACACTGAACACAGAGAAATGAACACACTAAAGGGAATGGTTCTATTTAGTACCATCAGTTCTATCTATACAGACCCATTTCATGCTTAAATGGTTCTCTGCATGGTGGAACCGTTCTTCAGATCGATGGAGAATGTGTTGTATATAGGTCTATACAGAACTTTTCTGAAAATCGTTCTATATAACACCAAAAAGGGTTCTGTTTTAAAAAAATGTTTCTGACATTTTTATTTTTCTATATCATTTGAACACAGCAGCAGTATAAATGGATAAATGGACCAACAGAAATGCTCCAAAACTGCTCAGAATGAAATCTCGTTACATTAACTTACATTAAAAGTTAAGAAGGTTTTTGCCCTCTCCTGTAAAGTTGCCATTTCTGAGACATTTGTGTTTTTTTTGGACAGTGACGACATGTTGAATGATTAATTAGTCAATTAATTAATCAGAAATCCTCTAAGAGTATCAGACGACATGTCATACCATTAACGGAAGGTAAACACAAAGGTATTAAACACAGCATTTGATGATACAGACCGTCTAAAGCCGTAATGGTACGTCCTGAACTGAGTTTAAACGGAGATACTGTCACACAAATGATGTGATTCAGTTTTCCAGGTTTGATAAGACACTACTGTTATGTATTTCTCTCGTCATGCTGCTGGACAGCTGCAGGGCCCAACCAGACGTTCCCTCTTACACTGAAATGCTCAGTCTCAATCTCTGGCAATAAGAACTGTCCCTGCTTTAGGACCTTCATCATCACGATTCCAAAGAAGGATGAAACCACCTGCTTTAACGACTGCACGATCACTAAACACATATCTGTGGAAATGAACCCCAACCCATCCCCGCTACCGGCCCAAAACCCAGCCCCCCTTCCCCTCAACCCTAGGCCCACTTCCACCCCCAACCCAGCCCTCCTTTCGCCCCCAACCCAGCCCCTCCCCCACCCAACCCATCCCCGCTACCCCACAAACTGTACCTAAACTGTAACATTCATTCATTCATTCATCTTCTAAGCTGCTTGTCCTCCTGGGTCACCAGGGAGTGCTCAAGCCGATCCCAGCGCTCATTGGGCGGAAGGCAGGAAACACCCTGGACAGGTCTTCGGACAGTGGGAGGAAACCGGAGCACCCAGAGGAAACCCACACAGACACGGGGAGAACATGTGAACTCCAGGCCTGGGTTCGATTCCCCGGCCGTGCGTCCAGCGTCCTTTCTGTGTGGAGTTTGCACCTCCGGGTGCTCTGCTTCCCTCCCACAGTCTACAGACAGGCAGTCAGTCCACTGAGATACTAAACTGCCCCTACGTGTGGATGTGTGCGTCTGCCCTGCACTGCAAAAAATGTTATCTTGTCAAGTGAAATGATCTTAAATCTAGTCAATATATCGAATATTTCCTACTTTGAGATGGTTGTACACTTATTATAAGACTGTCTGGTTTATCTCTAAACATTATTTACCTGCGTCACAATTATCTGCCAACACAGTGAGATAATTCTACTGAATAAAATTACTTACAGCAAGTCACTAATGTCTAGAAATAAGTTAATAATCTTAAATTAAGCTTTTTAAGATAATTTTACTTGACAAGATACCATTTTTGCCGTGTGTGAGGAACTGCCAACCTGTCCAGAGCGTTTCCTGCCTTCCACCCAATGAGCGCTGGGATAGGCTCCAGCTCCACCATTAATCCCATGCAAATCGACATATCAGTAAACACTATCATATCCTGTGGAAAAGAAGTTTCTTCAGTATGGAGCCTCTAAGAAGTGCTTACTTGTGTTCTCTGACACAGCTGAAGTCGACTTTCTCTTCTTAGAATTTTCCCGTTCCACCTTAAGAGGTGCAGCAGTTATTATAATAATGCCTGAGAATGTAACTTCTGCACCATTTAAGGTGGAACGGGAAAATTCGAACAAGAAGCTGGAGAGGAGGAAGCCGACTTCAGCCTGGTTGCCCTCTGAGGCTAAAATCAGGCCGATATGAACCGTCTCACCTGCATAACTGAGAATTGTAAAAGTACAGGAAAAACTTTGATTGTTTGCAGTGAAGTTGACTGTTGGCTGTGAATTCTCAGGTAATCGTGATGCAAATGACGCATTGCATTCAGACAGAAAGGTAAATGGTTAGAGTAGACAAAATAATGGCTAAATTAAATGTTTTAACATCTTTTCTACTCTTTTCTGGAGTGAAGGTGGCGCATAAAGCTGGTCCCTTCTCTGTCATTTAGACTGAGATTCCTTATCCCATGAGAATCGCTCATAAACATTACAGATGTCCTGGCGTAAACTGTTATTACCCACCTCCCCATGGAAAACTAATCCCATTCGAATAGTCAGCTCGGTAAAACTGATGAAACTAGTGGTCTTACATATTTACCCCGTTACAACCCCCCCTACAGCTGGGAAGATTAACATCTCTCATCTCAGAGTAAAAGGAACCACCACAAAAAACAGCTGAGATTATCACTGACTTCTATATAAACCATGTAAAAGCAACTGTTCCCTGGAAATCAAGGGCTGCACCTTCAAATTCTTAGAAGTTAAGTGACCCTTATTAGTCCCACAACGGGGAAATTTCACCTCCACATTTAACCCATCCGTGCAGTGAAACACCACACACATACACACACACACACACACTAGGGGGCAGTGAGCACATGTGCCCTATCCACGGCGCCCGGGGGAGCAGCTGGGGGTTAGGTGTCTTGCTCAAGGGCACTTCAGTCACATAGTGTTGGCTCAGGAGATCAAACCAGCAACTTTCTGGTCACAAGGCTGGTTCCCTAACCTCCAGCCCACGACTGACCCAAGCATGTGGAAATTTGGTAACTCGGGTTTCTCAACGCTGATTTGTATTCAGTACCTCGCTCTGCTGAGACGCGAATATCACAATCTCACAGAAAGAACAACTGCACTGTACTTCTTCACAACAACAAAAAACAAAGACTTCCTCTTACAGTTCTACAGCACTGAAACCAGCATTGCATCATCTGAGATCATCTGGTTTGGCTTTGCTGTGACTCAGTCCAAGAGCAAACCTCACAGGGCCATCAAGACACATTCCATGTACACGACCACTCAGACGTTTGGAGTCACCACTCAGAAATTTGGAATTAATGTTTTCAACAATACAGATACGGTTCTGCTGCAGATACATGTACAAAACAGGTCTAAAGTAATGTCAGTGCTGGGAAACATGGCAATATATATGATTACTGTGATACATTATGTCACATTATACAACAGTTAGTTCCGGCCACGCGAGCTGATTGGTTGAGAGGCGTTCTAACTGTGCTGTTATTTCACCATAACATCATGGGTTTCTCACACACACTGTATCACTCCGCTGAGACGCCGTTGCTAAGCAACGACTCTGACAGCTGTAGGAGACGCTCAAGACATTTGAACATTTTTACTTCTTACTTTGCCACAAACAGAAAATGGACACTTTTAAGATCACATTTGACCGACAGCCGATTTGGTCAGACTCTGAAGATGAGACGACACTAAATTCCCAAACTGTCAGTTGGTCTGTGTGGAGCTGGAGAACGAACTGCCGGCTGTGCAGCGAGTGGGCGGAGCTCGTTACTCTGACGTAGCAACAAGCTGCTCGTTAAGGAACTATAATTTGGTGAAGGAACTGCGAACATTAAAACATATTAAACGCCGCGTTCACGGCCCAGTTTATTAATTTATTACTGTATTTATTTAACTGTTGTATTAAAGCAGTAGAACACTCGAGGAGTGTGTTATCGCCAATAACATCACGGCTGTGATGATCTACGGCGACCAAATCACAGCCGTGATGTTATTTTGTGATAACACACTCACACATATTACAGCTTTCAAATAATTTATAGGAATGTACAAAGAAAACATGACTGTTAAAAGCTTGGCCTTCAGTTTGGACCACAAATGTCTAAATTCAGTCACAATATGAGGAAAAACACAACTTTACCACCTTTACAA